AGGAAAGCCGGAAGTAAACTCTCACTTGGCAATGCCCCCTTTGGCCAAACTCCAAAACCCTAAGCCCTAAATCCTGAGGCCCCCAGCCCTCAACCCTATGTGCCTCACGCCCCAACCCGTAGCCCTGAACGCCGAGCCCTAAACCTTAAACCTGAAAAACACAAAGCCCGAAACTTTAAACCCTAAACCCTACAAGTCCGGACCTAGGCCCTACAAGCCCTAAACCCTTCAAGTCCTGAAGCTTTCCAGTCCTTCGTCTGTCCGACGGCGAGACCCCTCACATTGGAGTCCACTGCAGGGAAAACTTCACCGCGCCCAACCTGGCGGGTGTAGGGTTTTTGGGACTTAAGGCTTAGGGTTTACGGTTTTGGGGCATTGGGGTAACTGTTTAGGGTTTCGGGGTTTGGGCAAGGGTTTAAGGTTTGGGGTTTGGAGACTGAGGGTTTAGGGTTTTAGAGACTTTGCGTAAAGGTTTGGGTAGGTGTTAGAATCAAGCGTCTAGGCTTCAGGGCTTAGAGGTTAGGGGGAGGGATTGGGGTGTGAGGGCTTAGAGTAGAAGAGTTGAGGGACATAAGGGTTTGGGTTAGAGGTTTCTGGGAGCTCGGAGCAGGTGACTGGGCGCAGAGCACTTGGTTCTTTTGCACATCGGGCTCATTATAGCTCTGTGCTTGACGAAATTGATGCGTTTGATCTTCCGACAGGTTAGTGGCAGGACTTCTCCCATACCGTCTCGAAACGGTTATAACTTTTTTGGGTGCTGGGAGCTCAACTGAGTTGATCAGGAGAGGGGTAAGGTTACAGGCTTAGCGTTAATCGGGGTTTGGCTTGAGCTGGGGCGTATTACTAGCGGTTTAGGGTTTAGGGTATTACACTTGGTTGGAGCCTTGGGATTAAGCTTTGGGGCTTACTTTGAACGACCCAGTGGCCACATAGGACTCAGGGAACTAGTTTCCAAGCGATGCTACCGGGTTGCCAACGGGGGAGGGTTCAGGGTTGAAGTTTAAGAGTTTACGGATGATATGACTGTTTGCCTAGGTTGGGGATTCGTCAACATACGCCTTTAGATGGGGTCTACTCTTTGCCAGCCGGTAACTGTTACGGCGACCCTAAACCCCTAAACCCTAGAGACTTCCTATTAAAGGATTAGGGCTGCCTGCTTCTGGACTTTACCACGGCTATCTTTGAGAAGCTCCCGCGTAGCTGCAGTTTTTTGAGGCCGGCTTCACCATGCAGGGAGATCACTTTATGGTTTAGGGTTTAGTGTTTGGGGTTTAGGGTTCGGGGGTTAGAGCTTAGCTAAGGGTTTGGGGGCTTAGGGCTTAGAGTTTAGGGTTTTAGCGCGGGTTAACATCACGCTTCCAAGTCCAAATTGCTGCTTCCCCATCTGTAACGCTACTGGAACGACGGACCACAAACCCGAAACGTTTAGGATTTAGGGTTCTACCTGTAACTCCATTACCTATACTGTTCAATGGGTCGTAGCTTTGAATCAGAGGGTTGAAGCTACCAAGCTGTAGGCGGTTGGGCCTACACCGACCTGTGATAGCCTATGCGCCCTTCAAAGACATGTTGTGCCTATTCTGCGGTAGTTTCCCTAAATAGGAGGAACCTCAATACAAACCCGTAATCTACGATAATCCTATATTACAGGGACTTTCAAAACGGTACCCCTCATTTTTGGGGATCCCCCATGTTCGGTGGTACAAGAAATGAGTTCAGCCAGGTCACTACACCAAAACCCTGAACCACACCCGGAACTCTAAACTATAAATCCCCAACCCTGAATCCAATCCACATACCCTCATGCCTATAGAGGCTAAGCATGCAAGCCCTAAGCCCCAAATCCTAATTCCTAAACCGCATTTACCCTGATCCGTAATTCCTAAACCCTAATAAAACCCTAAATCCTAAACCCTAAACTCTAGAACCCTAAAACCTAAATCCATAAACCCTAAACCCTCAGCAAACCAAGCCACGCCTCGAATTCTAAGCTTCCGTGGCCATCCGGAACCTGGCTCAGCTAACCCGAACCTTAGGGCTCCAAGTGGCCCAAAATAGGTACGATTTAGGGTTTAGAGTTCAGGATTTAGGGTTCAGGGTTTTGGGGTTGAGGCTACAAATCCTGCTCGAGCATCAGTACCTTATACCTTGGGAATCTGGGCTCAACATGTAATATATGCGTTTCCCGTATCAGCAATGCTTACGTAGGGTCTTGGGTGTAGACTTCAATTTGGGCCAAGGTATCCGCTAGCCATAGGCATAAGAGCCCGAAACAAATATCATATCCTAAGCCCTAGCCCTACACCCTAAATTGGTAGACCTTCGGCAGAATAGTAAGAGTTGAGGGGTCGGGAGTTCGGGGCCCAGGAATATACGGCTGAGGCTTAAAAACGCCCATCGCGCTGTAGGCATCGAGGCGCTGGAGGTGTCGGGTTCGGGTGTTAGGTCGAGGCTTTGGGGTGTGAATGCTAGCAAAAGCGGAGCGGAAAATATTGAAATCTGATGGTGATGATGGTGGTGATGCTGCTGAGGGCTTTCGGAGCTAGTCCTCAGAGGGTGCGAGAGTTCCAGTGTTCCAGTCTATTTGAAGCCGGATGGGTGGATGGTGATAAGTCGTGCTAACAACAACTTTTAATTAACTTACAACCCTCCCGTAACTGCCCATGCATCTTCACATAGGCCTCACGCTCTGCAGATTGCTTAGAGATCAAAGTATTTTGTTTTGGGGTTCCTGTACTTTAAAGGTCTGAACAAGGTACATACTTACCTTACTGGCTCTTAGGTGGGAATGGTGGCATATGTTGAAATACGGATGAGGGGGACCCATGAACAGACTAGGAGACGATATAACCACCTCAAGAACGTGGCAACCTTACTTATTAGCCTGTGGGCTTCAAAGCCTTCATTCAACATTGACCTGTCCCTGCCTTCACTCTCCTCCAGAGGCAGCACCTGCTTCTGGTCCAAAGTGTGATGAAATATCGCTGTCTGAAAACATCACCGCCACGAGAAGATTGCCCGAGCATGTAAACGGAAATATCACCGCAAGAAGGGTGCCCAAAACTACACCCGAGGGATCCAGCACCTGCATTGGATCCTAACTAAGGCTACTTGGATCCCTACATGCCCCTGAAAACTCCTAGTTTCCATTTCAGCTTCCACTCGCTTTCCATTTGAGTCTGGAGTATGAAGGAAAAACATTGGGCTATTGCTCCCTAAACCCTAACCCCCAACCCGGCATTACCATATTCTGACATGAGAAATGCCGACCCAAAACCCAAAACCCTATATTCTGACATGACAAATGCTGAAATATGTGCTCGAAAGGGAAGAGCCAACTTTGCTTGAGGAAGCTCACTACACAGCCAACCCCCAAAGAGCCCATGTAGCTATGTAGTAGAGAGTTTAGGGTTTAGGGTTTGTTATTAACACCAGAGGGCTTTTACGCCTGCCGAGGCGCTGGTGGCTTGAAGGGGTTTAGGGTAGCTATATAATGTGATAGACCTGGGCCAGAGTAGGTATACGGGAAACCCTTGGGTCCTAAGTGTGTACTATACAGCTACATGGACCCTTTGGGAACAAGACACCCTGGTACGGAGCAATGTTTGAGCACACAAATGCGAGCCGTTTGACTCTGCTCTTCAGTTCTGAGTTTGTTTTCTCGACTTCGGGAGTGACCCTCTACCATGAGCCTTTGCACGCTTTTCGATGAAGATGTGCTGCCTCAAAAGCAGTAGCCCGAATTACTGCCCGAAAAGTCAAACGGGTGGTTGTCAACATTATGGTCTCTTTTGGGTACCCTAAACATTAAGTGCCGTATTATAATAGGGATCCAACAAGGGACCAAAATTTTGAGAACCACACAAACAGGACATTAAGTACACTATTCTCGACTGGTTTCGGTCAAGGCTCCCTTGTCAGAGTCACTCAGAGAAGCCCTCCAACAGAGGGACTGAATCAGATATTTGTTGGATAGTGCGCCCACCCTATAAAGTCACAAATGGCGCCCGATTATGAAGGGCATCTTCCTAACATCCGTACATGCGGCCCTTATTTAGCGAGTTCTCTCACTTAAAGTAGAATATCTGGTGACTGCTATGGGCGGGGCTCACTATCCGAACTATTCTCAAAGATTGGGCGGAGGAGGGTTCCTTCTTTCACCCAAGCACTGCAGTCAGCCGTGTGCAAACATTTACAAAAAGAGAATCACCAAACACTGTCGGTGGAGGAAACCTTGCACCACCCTAAGTGGCATATGTCGCAAGACTTCCAATGCTTCGAATCAAGGGTTTAGGCTTGTAGCCCTAGGGTTGTACCCCTGGGTTTTGGGATCCTTTCAGGGGACCCTAGGGGACTAGATAAGGACTATATTAGGGCCATGTTGGGGAAACCATTTAGGGGTACGACCTCCCGGGTACTACCCTTCATCGAAGACCCTAGCTTATTCAGATTCTTCGTGATGAGGACTTTAAATCGATGACAGAGACGTGCCGACATCTGTGGACAAATCTCCCTAGCTGAAGGAATTGGATGGGCTACACTTTGGCTGCCGTTGCCACTTCCTTGCGCTAAGCTTCTACCCTTTTGGGACCCCTCTCCATCCAGCTGATGGAGGCGAGCCACTGCTTTCAGTGGGTGTCGACCTCAAAGTATCTTGCACGAAGCATTCTGGGGCACATGGGCCGTGCAATTCATCCACAGCACTGAGCTCTTAAGCCATATAACCAACCCTATAGCTGCTGCTGCTGCTACTGCTACTGCTACTGCTACTGCTACTGCTACTGCTACTGCTACTACTACTGCTACTGCTACTGCTACTGCTCCTCCTACTACTACTACTACTACGACGACGACG